GAATTTGTACTTTAATCTGTCCCTATTTTCAGACTTAAATTAACAAAGGGCAGATCACTTTGTTTATTTTTCTCATGAGAAAACAGCATACAATAGAAAACTATTTTTATATTATGCTATTAGCAAAGTATTTTTTAAAAGTTACCCTTTGTGGAGTTATCTGCCCCTTTCATCCAGTTTCTTCATAACCTGTTTTCAACTGCTCTTGTACTTACTCTCTAGACAAGGGGTTCAAAAAGTGACCTCTCTCTCTATAAAAGTATAATGGATGTTCAAACCCACCTGTTACTCCTCAGAAACCCTATACAGGATTGCTGTGAGTCAGAACCGATTCCATGGCACTTAACAACAACATCCTTATTCAGGAGTCCTGGTGCTTCACTGTAGGATAAGCACTGAACTGCAAGGTCGGTTTGAACCTTAAGGTTGGCAGTTTAAACTTACCAGCTACTCCATTGAAACCCTATACAGGGTCTCTATGAGTCGGAACTGACTCAACAGCACTTAACAACAAGTGTCGCTCATTTAAAGAGAGACTCTCACTTGGGTCCATTTTACATCCAGTTGGTACATTTTATTTCCTCACAGTTGTAAACTGAAGGCTCTGATTTTTGTAGAAATATGTGTCTTGGTGTCTTCCTGTGTTGCCTTTAAACTGGTTTGTGTATCCCTAGCATTTTTCTGTTTCCTCATGAGTTTTTGCAAAGGACACTTATATGTAGTGTGGCGCTTCCTCTGAGCATCCACCATTTGTTATTGTTAAGTTCTGACTCATTGCAACCTTGTTATAGGGTTTCAAAGGAGCAGCTGGGGGATTTGAACTACCAACCTTGCAGTTCAAACCAATCTTGTGGCCCAGTGCATTATTCTGCAGTGCTATACCAAGTCTCAGATGATTATAAAGGGATCTTGTAATCTATGCACTGGGAAGTCAAAATGATCTTTTAGGCTGTGGATTCCAAATCTAATTGTCTAAAGAAAAGTTAAATCAATGTCTTATTTCCTCATCAGTAGCCTCAGAATGGCATCTGGCCAAGTGTGACATTCCCAGAAGCATCACTAGAGCAGAACTGGATCTGCTGTATCCAGTTCTGGGTGACCATTTTGTTTCAGTGATTTGGAATCAGGCATCACAAGCATTCTCTTTTGACCACCCCATTCCCAGAATGTAACTACAAGCAACAGTTGCAGATACCTGCATGCTACACAATGCCATGCTAACCAGCTTAGGACCCGCTGGCTCTGTTTAGAAAAGAATTCTCAGATGCACAAAATGACGTGTTTCCCATTGAAGGAACACTGAGACCCTAGAGTGACATTTGGACTTGTTCCATTTGCTAAGTTTACATTCCTCCTTGCATGTATATTTCTGAAGCCTCTTGTACATGCCAGCTGCTATTGGGCCCTGGGAGACGAGAAATGGACAAGAAGGATGGAGCCCAATATGGGACTTACAGTCTAGTGGGAAAGCTAGAGTTGACACCATGGTTTGATACTGTTGTTGTCAGTTAGTTGCCATTGAGCCAGCTTGACCTCCTAGTTATCTCGTGTATAACAGAATGAAATGGTGCCCAGTCCTATGCCACCTTCAAGATTCTTGTATGTTTTGGTTACTGTATTCATCCTTCTCATCGTGGGTTTCCCTCATTTTCAGTAACCCTCTCCTTTATCAAGCATGATGCCATTTTTTTGCTTAGCAATTGGCATCCTGATGATGCGCCATCCTCACTTCTAAGGAGTATTTGGCTGTTTCTTCTAAGACTATGTCCATTCTTCGGGCGCTCTGTGGCATAGTCAATACCCTCTGCCAACACCGCAGTCTGTCTGTCTTCCTCTGTCACTGTCCAGTTCTCTCATGCATCATGAGGCTACGAAAGAGACCACGGTTCGAGTCAGGTACACCCTAGTCATCAAAATGACATGTATGCCAAAACTTTCCCAAAGCTGAACACAGCAATAAAATGAGAGTTTGTAAGTGCTTGTAAAAATTGTATGTAGTCTAAAATTTATTTATTTTGTTAAATATCAGTATAATACTTTTATCCTGGTATCTTATGTTAGAATGGAAGGAAAATATTTTATCAATTTTAAGACTCAAGATTTAGAAACTTAGGTTCTTATTTCAGAAGAACGATTTCTTTTGGAAAACTTTTTAAATTTTCAGATAGAAAACCAACCAACAAGAGACCTCAGGTGTAATTTGAGTTCCCATTAAAAGTTAACTTAAACCACTGGGGATAGTAGGATTACTAACCTTCCACTGAAGTTAAAGAACATGCCAGATGTAGCCCAGTCATTACTACAAAGTCTAACTGTGCCAGCAGTGAGGATTCAGGTGACAGACTTCATGTGTCATGCTTTACTAAGAAATCAATTAGCTAGAGAAGCCTATAAAAAAATAACCTGAAAAATATTTAATGTAGATTTGTTAGTACATAAAAGGACACTTCTATACTTGATACTTGATCTTTTAAAAGTCATGCTTGTGGTTGATCACATTAAACCTGAGGCACAGTTGAAGGCAAGGTGAAACAGATCAGGCTGAAGACAAGAAAGAGACCTGCCAATGTGTAGCAGGTGACCTAGAGGGCAATGGTACAGACTGAAGAGCTGGTGGTACAGACTGAAGGTATTCTTATCAGAGCAAAGGAGCAGCAATCAAGAGTCAGGGGATGGGCAGGGAGACTCAGGAAGAAGGCAAACTCCCAAGCAAGCACCATATTACAGGAAGTTGGGCTTGATCACCAGAAGCAGGACATACTAGAAGAATGCTGAAGTACCAATAGGAATAAATAGTTGAGATTGAATGTGCAATCTACTAACAAAGGGCTCATTGAAGTTCCAGATTCAAAAAATTGATTGGTTCAGAGCTTGGTAGTTCTAGGAATGCAAATATGTGTTCAGTGGTATAATCTTGAAAGATACTGAAGTATATTACACAAGACTCACAATGATTAGCTTGACTACTTTAGGAAACTGTGCTTGCATTTGCTTACTGATTTACCTCATTTACCATTAGAACTGTGGTTCTTAACCCTGGCTGTACAATAGAATCACACTAGGAACTTCTGGAAAATACCAATATCCAACTTCCACTCCAGAGCAATTGAATCAGAATCTCTGAGGGTGTAGCACTGAGCCACAAGCTTGGTTTGAACCACAAGGTCAGTGATTCAAACTCACCAGCCACTCCTTTGAAATCCTATACAGGGTCATTAAGATTCAGAACTGACTTGAGGGGACTTAACAAGGACTCCTGGTGTGGCACTGTAGAATCAGCACTGGACTGTGAACCATAAGGTCAGCAGTTCAAAACCACCAGTTGCTCCTTGGAATCCCTATACTGGATCACTATGGGTCAGTACTTAACAACAACAAGGGTGGGCCTGGAAATGGGTTTATTTATTCGTTTGATTGACTGGTTGATTTTTAGCTCCCTGGGTAATTCTAGTGTGCCAGGTTAAAGAGGTGACATTAGACTATGAGCTCCTTCAAAATAGGAACTGTGTCTTTTTTTTCTCTGTGTTCCAAGAACCTAGCTTAGTACCTGTTGGGTGGGCATTTAATAAGTGCTTAAATGCAAAGATAATGATTTCCATGTTTTGAACAGTGAGTATGAATCTGTTTTGTAGTCACAACATATAAAGTTAATCCAGTTGTTTTTAGCTATCATCAGGTTGGTCCCAACCTACAGAAATCCCATGAATAACAGGACAAAATACTGACCAGTCATACATCACCTCCATGATCAGTTGAAAAGCAGACTGGTGTAATCCATAGGGTTTTCATTGACTGATTTTCAGAAATAGATTGTCAGCCTTTTTTCTCAGTCTACTTAGTCTGGAGGCTCCACTGAAGCCTGTGTAACATCATAGCAGTACACAGTCCTCCACTGTCAGACGTGCACATTGGCTATGCATTAGATGCATTGGCCAGGAATTGTAATGTGCATCACAGTTATTGAGGGAGACCAGAAGAGAGGTATCCAATGGAGGCTGTGAGACAGCACCAGGGTGGGTTAGCAGCTTCAACACAAGGAAACAGCATTTCATGAGACAGGTTATTTTAATTCCCTTCTGTCTGCTTCTACTCTGTCCCACACTCTCTCTCTCCCTCTCTTTCACTTTTCTTTTCTCTCTCACATGCACACAACACCAAGAATGACAAATAGTTAAAGTTTGTAAAAATGATGTTAATGCTAATGCAAGACTTAAATTTTCACATATTTTGAAACATATGGAAATACAAAGTTTACTGTGATTTTTTATTTCAGCATAAAATTTTTTCCTACACTATTGTTGTTGTTGTTAGGTGCCATCAAGTTGGTACCGACTCATAGCGACCTTATGCACAGCAGAATGAAACACTGCCTGATCCTGGGCCAACCTCACTACTGTTGCCACACTTGAGTCCATCAATGCTGCCACTTGGCTAATCCATCTCATTGGGCGTCTTCCTCTTTTTCTCTGACTCTCCCCCACCGTACCAAACATGATATCCTTCTCCAGCGACTGGTCCCTCCTGACAACATGTCCAAAGTATGAGAGACGAAGTTTGGCCATCTTGGCCTCTAAGGAGCATTCTGGCTGTATGTACTTCTTCCAAAACGGATCTATTGGTTCTTTTGGCAGTCCATGGTACTTTGAATATTCTTCTCCAAC